CATACTTGCTGTGCCAGGCTGCAGTGTAAGCAATCAACATGCAGCTCCTACCCCCATGAAAAAACACCTTGCTGATGATAAGCTCTGTGTGTGTGTATGTGTGTGTGTGTGCATGTGCAGGGACTAATTTGTTTCTAAGACACAGTATTTGTTCTCCACACTAGAAAAAGGGTCCCTAAAATAGGGAAATGGCATTTGCAAATTAAAGTCATGCACCTGGGTGTCCTTGCTTCTCACCAGCAGCTGAAGTAGACAGGGATGATATTTTTCATCTGTGTGCATGGCCAAAGCTGCAGTACCTTGCAGATCCACTCCTGCCCTGCAGGCACTGTAAACTTCTGGTTTTGAGGTTCCTTCTGTTTCTCCTCAGGATGACATCATTGATGACGTGGAAAGCTTTGTAGCTGCTGCAGAGATCCTGAAAGAGCGTGGAGCCTACAAGATCTTTGTGATGGCAACTCACGGGCTCCTGTCAGCAGATGCCCCCCGTCTCATAGAGGAATCCTCCATCGACGAGGTGAGTCTGCTTTCTGCAGAGGAGGGGCTGGCTCTGATGACATCCAAACTCACAAACATGTTCTTCCCATGCCACACAGCTCATCTCTGAAATCACTGGTGTAATCAGGTGCTTTCAGTTAGCTGGTTCTTCAGTGGAACAAAAAAAGTGTGTGTGATTAATACTTGTTCAGATCAGGTCTGCTTCCCTGAGTATGTTTTCTCCCTAATGCAGGTGTTAGTCATCCCTGCATGGACACTTCCCTTACTGCAGCTGGTGGTGTGTGGCTGCCATCTCACTGTGCAGCCCTTCTCCCTGCCCCTCTCCCCCAGCTGCTGAGGGGCTGTTGGGACATCAAGAGAACAAGATTTCACACCTCACCCTTAGTAACAGACATGTCAGATCCTGTGAACTGAGTGACCCATCAGCCTGCGTGGAGGTGGCTGTTGGAGAGTGCTGGTTATGTTGGTCCCCTCAACAGATTGACTGTCGTGTGGGGGAGACCATTTTATTTCAATCCCACAAGGATTTGTCCCCCTGAATTGTGGAAGAGCAGGTGCACACCCCTCCTGGAGCTAATCCAGGGTGGCTTCTCGGGGAGAGCGAGCATTTCAGTGGCACAACTTTCTTTCCTTTCCATCTGTAGGTGGTGGTGACCAACACGGTTCCTCACGAGGTGCAGAAGCTGCAGTGCCCCAAGATAAAGACTGTGGATATCAGTTTGATCCTCTCGGAAGCCATCCGGCGGATCCACAACGGCGAGTCCATGGCTTATCTCTTCCGCAACATCACTGTGGATGACTAGACCTGGCTCTGCTCCCGTCCTGGGTTCCACAGGAGAAGGAAATGTGCATGAAAAGGCAATACCATAAAATATAGGCATAACACAACTGTTTATTTTTGTAGGAGCGTGGAGGTTTTCAGGGTCTTTGAGCCATGAGATCTAATAGAAAAAAAAAGTCAACCTGACCAGCACTTTACAGTTGAATAGAAGAGGCCACTGGCAATGGGAAGGGTTACACCTTAATTAAGAGAGGTGGTGTTGAATTTTTAAGTTCCTTTAATGATTTTTTTCTTTTTTTTTTTTTTTTAGTGTGTTATATCTCTTGCCCTGTAGGGGTGGAAAGAAAAGCTAAACAGAAGTAGCTGTCAGCTTATGAGAAGGGAATAGAGACTGTTCATTGCTGTGTGGGCAAGCAAGAGCAGCCTTTGGGGTTGTTTCTGCCTGTGGCTCACCCGAGAGCACAGAAGGGAACGTTCTGCTGGCAGAGCTGAGCAGCACAGCAGCTCCTTGCCGAGTGAGTGGCCTCTCATCTCCTGCACAGCAGAGCAAGGACTTTCATCAGAACTAAGTTAGCGGAACATCCCAAGGGGACAGCTTGGGGCAACCCGTTCGCAGGGCTACTCACATCCTTGTGTCAGGGAGCTGGGAACAAGCTCACGTGTCTCCCAGCAGAGCAGGGAACGCTAGTTAATGTGTTGGCCTTTTCATTTCGCAAGCTTTTGGATCATTATTGTTCTTCAGTGACAAGTCACATGAGGGTCTTGGTCCTCCCTTGAACACTTGTCTGCACTGCAAAGCCAGGCACAATTTTTGGAGTTGCCTGGGGCTGACGAGTTTGTGGCAGCGTCTCGTGGGGAAGGGAAGTTGGAACAATATCTGCTTCTAATGCAGCTGTGCTCTCCAAAACACTAACACCGAACCTGCAATAAAAAGCGTAAGGTTTTTCAATTTTGGTGCTTCCTGTGAATGCTGTACCCTCTGAGCAGCTGCTGTGTGTGTTCAGTGGGGCTGTTGGTGTAACCAGGCTCACTTGGCAGCTTGCAGCCTTCTCCCACAGAGAAGTAGGACTTGCTGATCACTCCTGTCTTGAGTGATACTAATTTTTGGGTGGAGGGGACACTTAAGGAAGGAGAACAAGATGCAGGTGGAGGGCTTTGTGTCCAGGATGATATAAGGATAAATTCCCAAACTGTGATCTTCCCCCTTGATGAGAGAAACACACTCCAGTAAAACCTACACTGCTTTCTAGCCTGCTGATGTGAGGAACAAATAAAAGCTGCTGGAAGCAGTTGCTTCAACAGCCTAAGAACTGTTTAGTTTTGCTTATCCTTGTTCTACATCTTTCTCTTCCACTCCAGCATCTAAAATATGTGTGGGGCCAAGGGGCTGGCAGTGAGTGAGCAGGACAAGCTTTGAACACCAGGCAGACAAAGGTACCTCAGCATGGAGTGGTTGGATCAGTGTGGATTAAACCTCCAAGCCACATCCCACGAGGGGTGTGCAGGGCTGAGTGAGGTCTCGAAGCTGTTGATGGGTTTCCTGCATTTTCAGAGTACCACAAACAAATCCCAGCTGTACTCTGTGGCCACAGTGTAGCTCCTCAGCCTGGTGGGGTAACACTGCTGTGCTGCAAGTATTGAAAGGATCAACTGAAGCGTGTGAAGTCCTTGTAGATGTCTGTGTGCCCCCTTGTTCCAAGCCAGTACCAGACCATGATCTCCATCCTGAAAGCCAGTGTTAAAAATGTGAGAGGTATTGCTCTTCTCTCCCCTTCAAACTGCTTATCAGACCTGCCAGGAGCAAGGCCAGGGCTCATTGAGGGCTGTTGGCCCATTCAGGCCTGTTTTAACTGGGCTGTATTTGGGAAGAAACCATGGAACCACGGCACCAGTGAGCAGAGGGTTGTGCTGCTGTCTCTGGGGTCACTGTGGTGAATGGATGTTTTAAGGTCACTTATAGAATCACTGGTAAAAGCAGGTTTAATACAGAAGTGAAAGCTCAACAAGGTTGTTGGCAGCCCCCAGCACCTCCAGCCACTGCACACCCCAAGGCCTTTGCCAAGGTTGCTCAGCTCTCCTCTTCCCTGCATGTCCCACAGGGAGGCAGGACCTGGCATAGGCAGAGCCAGGGCAGCTCCTTGGCTGGTCCAGTGTGTGCCCTCTGCTCAGAAAAGGGCCTTGTTCAGGGTGGTGGGAAAAACAGCAGGAGCTGGGAGCCCCCTGAGGGCCAGCCTGGATTGACATCCCATCACAGCCCCTCCGTGGGATGCGTGGTACCCGAAACCCTTGGGGCTGGGGAGGAACCTTTTGAAATCCAACAAAGGCAAGTGCCAGGTCCTGCATCCAGGATTCCCCAGCACCCACACCTCCATCCTGAGGGTGCAGCCAGCACGAGGCCACGCAGCAGCACGGACCCTCTGGGCAGCAGTGTGGGACTGACAGGTGAGTGCCATGGGGACAGCACTGGAGCCATTCCCTCTGGCTGTCCTAGCCAGGGCCTGTGTGGTGCCCTGGCACCAGACCCATTTAGCCAGCAAACAATCCCTGGGAATGCTCACGTAGCTGTCCTGTCTCCTCCCACTGGTAGCAGGTTCCTGACACTCAAGGAGGCAGCTTCAGGATGGAGCCCCTCTGAAACGCAGTGGCTGCCCAGGGCAGGCAGGGATGTGAGGTAAAGGACAGAGACACCCACACCTGCCATCCCAACCTGCCCTCACACCTGTGTCCTCGCTTGGTCAGCACCAAGGGCAGACCCAGGCCCCCTCAGCCTGTCCCCAGTCCCTGAGCTCATGGAGCCAAACTCGAGTACCCCCTGAGAGCCCAAAGGCAAAGGCTGCCCAGCCCACAGAGACCCTCCAGCTCCTGCAGGGTCTGCACCCAGCCCCATGTTGGCCTTGCCACCTGCCCCAGTTCCCATGGGACTGGGCTGCTGTGGTGCCTCTGGGAGGAATTCCCATGGTGCTGAGTTTTGGGCAGTTCCCTCTATGGATTCACTGTTGCCTAATATGAGCTGGAGCTTTTTCCCAGGTAGGAACACACAAGTAACCCATTTCCCCCATTGCACCCCCTTTATTTTGTAATCAGCCAGTGGGTTGGACTGGGATGGGGTGGGATGGGGTGGGGGAGAAACCAGACTCAGCACCCTGTGATTCCCCCTGCAAACACTGTAATTCCCTGCAGGACATGCCTGGCCTGGGAGCCAGGATCCCCCAGGAGCTCACCCAGCCCTCCTGTGCTCAAGGCTCCGGAGCCTTTCTGGAACAGGGAGATGTCAGCGCTCTGACTGCCTGATGGTTCAATCTGAAAGTTCATAAGAGAGTTTCTTGCTGATGATTTTTGTAAGGACTTGTCTGCTGGGTCACTCTGGTTCAAAAGATTTTTCCCAGCGTTCAACTGCTTTACTTCCTAGGCTTGTCTGGAAGCACGTGTTTATCTGCTTTTCCCTGCTTGTATGGCTCTCTGCTTTGGAGCAGGGTGCTGGAAATCCCTATGTCGATGCCATCAGCATCAGCCTTCCACCATTTCCACATTTAAGGGAGAAGGGAAAATGTCGTGCTTTTGAGATCTCAAAAAAGTAAACAGCTGGTAGTGCAACCTCTGGGCCTGATCTCCCAGAGTGTTCCAGAACGGTCCAGTGTGTGTGAGCACGTGGATCACCTCTCTCCACAGGGCACAGCTCTCCTGGGCGGGCACAGCTCACCCTGCAAGGGGCACCTGGGGCATGGGCTGCCCAATGTGAGTTGTCCCCGGGGTCATTTTGGGGCTGAAAATGGTAAAGCCGAAGGTGCCTCAGCACATGGATTCCACCGGCTGCCAGGACCTGGGCATGCCAGCAGTGAGGGACAATGGGGATGTTCCACAGAGGGCTGGGCTGCTGCTGTGTAACAATGGGTGACCTGTGCCAGGGTGGGCCATCGCCTTGAAACAGGGGACACCATAAACAGAGCCACATGCAGCAAGGAACGAGGGGGAGACCGCAGGGGGAGGAGCCTGTCAGCTGTGTACCTTTGCTCTACCTCCTGCCACACCTCCTATCACCTGCCATCCCACTGCTCCTGTCTGGAGCAGTAGCACAGAAGGCCGTTGCTCACAGCAGGTCTGTGTTTTTGGACAGGTCAGCAGCCATGGCAGAGCTCACCCTGGGCCAGATACTGGATTCAGCCATCGGGATGCCCAAGACTGAGCCCATCAACTTCGAGCAACTGCGCAACCTGCTGAATGGGATGCTTGTGAACCTGGGCCTGCGGGATCTGGTCGTCCAGGAGAGTGGGGAACCCCCGGAGGGGACCCCGACAATCCCCCCAGCTGCCTCCATGGCTGCTGACCTTGAGGAGTTAAAGCAGAAAACAGAAGCCAATGAAAGAGAAATCGCTGAGGTAGAGGCTCTTCCCAGCCCCCTCCTCTGGGGTCTGCACCACTGTTGTGCTGCTGGGCAGCTGCTGCCCCTTCTTGGCAGCTGAAGATGTGATGAAGGCTCAGCAGTGTCCTGTGCCAGCCTGTCCTGTGCCCTGCAGTGCCCCGGCTCTGTGCAGACCATAGTGGGTCCTGCTCCCCAGCAACCCTGCCCTGGGGCTCACCCTGCCATCCCCCTCTCCTAGGTCAGGGCTCTCTGTGAGCAGCTCCGTGTGGAGATCAATGAGGTGAAGGAGCAGCAGTCCCACATGGAGGAGAACATGCAGAAGATGCAGGAGATTCTGGACACGGTGATCTGCCAGTGGTGCCCCTGGGAGCTGCCCCTTACCGTGTTGCCCTGCCACCCTGCTCTACAGCCCTTGGTGGCTCCCAGCGTGAAGGGCACCAGGAGGGAAGAATGGGAAGGGTATCCCCAGAGTGGAACGTGGGAGCTTAGCTCAACCCACCCAGAGCCCCCCCCCACCAAAACACTGCCCCATGGAGGGCAGAAGGGCACCTCTGCCTGCAGGTCAGACCAGTGGTAGAGGTCACTGCCTGCCTCAGCCAGGTATGCTGAAGTACTCCTGAACTAAACAGCCACCAGAAAAGTAAAGTGGGTGCTGGGAAGGAGGGGAGATAAAGATCCACCTGTGCAATACAGCCACAGCCCCTGGGCACAGCCCTGCCCAGAGTCCCTCTGCCTGAGCTAATTTGTAGATGTTCCTTTTAAATCCTGCTCCCGTGTTCTGACTCCTGTCCCTCTCCTCGCCCCACTCCAGGCGAACTTGGAGGATATGGCAGAGAACCTCCACAATGAGCTGACAGACCCTGTCATGGACACTGTCACGGTACATCCCTGAGCACACCCGGGCCCTGCTCCAGGATGTGGCTGCACCCCCAGTGCACCCTGTCCCCCCACATCAGGGGATGGACAGCAATGCTGGGGGGGTCCATGCTCCTCTGGATCCCGTGGAGGGTGACAAAGATGATTTGGGACCTGGAACATCTGCCTCCTGAGGAAAGGCTGAGGGAGCTGGGCCTGTTCAGCCTTGGGAAGGCTGAGAGGGAGCCAAGGCTGGGAGGGTGGTGCTGAGCATCTAGGGGGGATCCGTACCTCAGTTTCCCCAGGAAAAGCTGGATGGGGAGGCTGGCTTGGGGATGCCGAATGTAGCCCCATGTTGCAGCCATCCCACTCTCTCCTTCCCAGTCTTCCATGAAGGACATTATGGATGAGGACGGACAGGTCCCCCCAGACTGGCAGCAGGTCCCCCCGGACTGGCAGCAGGAGCCTGGCATGCACTCACACCCTTGGGAGGACCAGGGGCTGATTGTCATTGGCAATGAAAGTACGTCTGGGCAGGCCTGGGGAGGGGATCCAGTGGATGGGAGGGGCACAGTGGGGCAGGTAGGGGGCCTGTGGACTGCTGGGTTTTCCCCCAGCTGTGTTCCCCAGGGCTCCCCCAACCCCAGAGAGTTCCCCCTGTTCTCTTCTTCCAGTTGTCCTCACGGACAGGTTCAGGGCATCCTCACCAAGGCAGCGGGATACCCGGGCCCCCAGCCCTATGCCCTCAAAATCCACAGCTGAGGCACAGAGCAGAGGGAAGGATTTGCCACCTGGGGTCACGAGCAGCCCCCGAGTCTCCTTCATGGCAAGTGACACGGGATGGAATGACATGGGATGGAACAGCATGGGACCGATCAAGGACGAAGAGATCCAGATGGGCATCTCCAAGGGAGCAGCTCTTCCCGGCCCCAAGGCATGGAGCAGAGGGAAGAACATGCCACATGGGGCTGTGAGCAGCCCCCGAGTCTCCTTCATGGCAAGTGACACAGGATGGAATGACATGGGACAGATCCAGGATGAAGAGATCAAGATGGGCATCTCCAAGGGAGCAGCTCTTCGAAGCTCAAGGGCATGGAGCAGAGGGAAGAACTTGCTGCACGGGGTCACGAGCAGCCCCCGAGTGTCCTTCGTGGAAAGTGACGTGGGATGGGATGATGTGGATCAGAGCAGGGATGATGAGGAGATCAAGACAAGCATCTCAAAGGCAGAGGCTCTTCCCAGGCTCCTGGATGTTCCCCCTGAGATGAAGGACATGGAACAGATCAAGGACAAAGAGATCAAGATGAGAATCTCCAAGGCAGAGTCTCTTCCCAGCCCCCTGGGTGCTCCCCCTGAGATGAACGACATGGAGCAGATCAAGGACGAAGAAATTGAGACGAGCTTCTCTAAGGTAGACTCTTCCCAGCCCCCTGGGTGCTCCCTCTTGGATGGCCCCCTCCCCTGGGGTCTGCACCACTGTTGTGCTGCCCCTAGACCAAGGTCTGGCTTAAACCCAAGCTCACAGCAGCACAGGGAGCTTCACTGAGAGAAGGGGATGGAGTTTTGGGGGCAAGACCTGGGGCTGAAACACTGCTCTGCTTGCTCAGACAAAGAGTTTGGATGGCAGTGTCACTGCCCTGAGAGTGCATCCAGGATCCCCTGGCATCCACGGCCCCATCCCGATGAAGGCAGCACGAGGCCACCCAGCATCACAGAGCCTCTGGATGCCAGCTGAGAGTGTGGCTGGGACTGACAGGTGAGTGCCACGGGAACAGCGATGGCTTTGGGGACAGCACTGGCCCTGTTTCCTCCACAGGGCCCATGTGGGGCCCTGGCATCAGACCCATTTACCTGCTGATCGAACCGTGGGGATGCTGGTGATGGAGCTGTGCTGTCTCCTTCCAGTGGTAGCAGGTCCCGGACAGCCAAGGAGGCACAAGGAAGGGGCAGCTTCAGGATGGAGCCCTCTGGGATGTGAGTACAAAGCTTTCCTGATGAGTGTAGGGGGCAGAGGACAAGTGTAGGGGACAGGGGACAGCAGGTCATCCCCCTAGGCAGGGCTGTGACTGTGCCAGAGCCGGGCATGACCTGCTCTCCTGGCACAGCTCAGGGGGGTCCTGAGCACTGACCAAGCGAGGACAGGGGTGTGAGGGGCGGTTGGGATGGCAGGTGTGGTGCCACCTCACCTCCCTGCCTGGCCTGGGCAGCCACGAGCAGCCCAAGTGGTTTAGAGACACCAGCAGGACCCGAGGCTTTTGGGCACTTCCCTCTGCAGATTCACTGTTGCCCGGTATGAGCTGGAGCTTCTCCCGTGGAAAATAACCCATCTCCCCTATTGCCCCCCTTTATTTTGTAACCAGCCAGTGGGTTGGGCTGTGCTGGGGTGGGGTAGAAACCATGCTCAGCACCCCGCAATTCCCCCTACGAACACCGAACTCCCTGCAGCGACGTGCCTGGCACTGGCTGCTGCCTGCACAGGCGGGGCTGCATCCCCCCCGGAGCTCACCCAGCCCTTTTCTCCCCATTTTAGGAAGCTCCTAAAGGTGTCCTCTCCCGACTTCTTGCCCAGAGACCAGCCCTTCACCCTGCAGTTTTCTGGCCCGTGAGTATCAGCGGCACCGGTGCCTCGGGGGATGCGCGGGTGGGACAGGGGCAGGGGGGTGCTGGCAGTGCCCTGCTGTGGCAGGGATGGCTCGTTTGGCCCCTGTCACCCACCCGTGTCTCCTGCCCTCTCCAGGCCCTCTCCGCCCGGGTCTCCTGCCCTCCCTGGGCTCTCTCCGCCCGGGTCTCCTGCCCGCTCCAGACGCTCCGATATCATCCCCTACACGCCGCCGCCGTCCCCCGGCCTCACGGGCCGCCTGCCCCCCATCGTCAAACAGTACCAGGAGCGCGGCCAAAGGTCGGGACGAGGGCCCTGGGGGTGTGGGGGAGCCCTGCCCAGCAAGGAGAGCTCTTCCCTGGGTGGGGGCGGAGGGGCCCGGGGGCGCCGGCAGGAGAGAGGGGCTGCGGAGGGTCAGAAGGTTTTACAGCCCCACCCTGTCTAGCCCAGGTCTGTCTCGATGGGACTGAAGCCACATGTGGCGAGTTGTGTCTGGTCTCTGCCTGAGCTCAGGCTTGGTAGGGGCTCGGGTGCCTCCTGTGAATGAGTTCCCAAAACCAAGCCCTGCAGCTGGGACAGCCCAGCTCTTGCCTCCTGGCGTCCCCTGCGGAGGGCACAGGGTCCTGCCGTGGCCGCGGGTCCGTCCGGGGCTGTGGGGAAAGGGCAGATCCCTGCAGGGCTGGACGGGCACGGGTGTCCTGCAGCAGCTGGAGGGGAGCCAGGAGCCCCCCAGGGAGCCCCTCTACCCCCCTCCCTGGCATAGCAGGGTGAAACACGGGGTGCCACGGTGCTGAGCACTGAGCATCCCTGTGCCCCACCCCACAGGGAGCAGGCAGAGGGGTATTCCCGCAGATCCCCCATGTACTGTGGGGGCCGGCACACCAGCATCTGCCCAGTGCAGCCGATGGAGCCCCTCCTCCCAGACCCCAGCAAGGTAGGGATGATGAAGACGGGGATATAGGGCTGGGGCAGCCGAGGCGGGGAGGGTGATGCTGAGCATCCTGGGGGGATCCGTGCCTCAGTTCCCCCAGGAAGAGCTGAGTAGAGAGGCTGGCTTAGGGATGCTGAATGCAGCCCAGAGGTTCCAGCCATCCCCCTCTCTCCTTCCCAGCCCGGCGTGTTTGACCTGGTGGGCAAGGATGGAATCGTCTACCGGGGCCGGCAGTGCAGGAGGACTCCTATGGGGTCCTGGATGGAAGGAGCAACCTATTCCAACCTGCAGTAAAGAGCTACGAGCAGCCAAGCACCTGTGCTTCCTGAGTGGAGTGGCCTTGGATCAGGATATTTCCTTCTTGAACAAGGAGGGGCTGCTGGAGGAGCTGAAAACAGCACCTCCCAGGGTCTGTGTCAGCCCCGTGCTCCCCTTGGCACCCCCTGGCCTCTGCCAGGGGACCCTGTGGCCTCAAAGGAGGTCTGGGGGGGGCCGAGTGGTGCAGCAGAAGGAGGATGTTCCTTTGCCTCCAGGGAGGCAGTGGGAAAGGGGGGTCTCAGTGGGAAGAGCAGCAGCAGGACACGGTTTAATGTCAAAAGCGATTCCCACCCCAAGCCCGCTGGTTTGCTATCGATTATCCCATCGGATGAGCATCACCGGACTTTCTTTACCTCCAAGCGAAGGAAACCCCTTGTCCCTCTCCCCTTTGTCACCCCCTCCGTCCCTCTCCAGTGCTGCCATCAACGGAAAGAGGAAGGCACGAGCTCTGCTGCTTCCCACCTCCAGACGAGAGCACCGTAACCTGTCCCTGCCCCCCTGGGGGGAACACGCCCCCTCCTTTCCCTTATGTCCCTCTCTCCCCAGAGATTAGCGCTGGCCGGGGTTGTCCCCACAGCACACAGGCAACGACACGCGGGGGAGGGGGGGACACAAAGCCGGTGGCACCTCTCGGATGAGTGGGAGGGTGAGAAACACCGAGGGGAACCCCAGAGGCAGCCAGGGGGGACCCAGAGCTTACGGGGAACATCCCCTCAACCCCCGTGGTGTGTCCCTGGGGGCTGCCCCATGGAAACCTTGCTCTCCTGGTGAATATTCTCCCCAAACTGCAGGGGGAAGCCCAAAAACCTTCTGCCACACAGACAGACTCCATCCCCTCCACCCTACTGTGCTTCAGAGGCACCTTAGTCCGTAGGGAGACACCCCACCCCCCCCGAATGTTTTCCTTGGTGGGTTTACTTTTTCAGGGGGAAAAAAATGGGTGCTCAAAACCTGCTTCGGGGGTGCTGAGGTGGATACAGTAGGATCTGGGGTCCCCCCAGTGCCACCTCCAGTAGGATAACTGAGAGCACTGAGCAAACCACCAGGCACCAGAGCAGAGCCATCAAAGAACCATCCTGCACCCCTGGGTGGGGCTGAGGGGCTGAGAAACAGCCTGGGGACTAATTGCATTTTCAGGATATGGCCCAGCTGGGGGGACCCCTTTGGCATTCATCATCCCTCCCGCTCAGCACTTCCCACCCCCTGTCCCATCTGCACCCTGTTAACACCCTCACCCTCCTGTACCCCCCTAAACACACACCAGCCTCACGTCCCTCCTTGGGTGCTCTGTGTGCTGCTGGAGCAGGTGAGTAGCCCCAGATGGGGGATTTTTTTAGCCTTTTCTCCTTGGAGGTTGTGCCATCCTGGGGGTCTCTCCATCCCTGGGGGATGCTTTGCCACTGTGCTTTGAGCCACCCAGCCCTTCCTGGCATCTGCAGATCTGCTGTGTTCCCATTTTGGGGGTTGTTCCCCTAGTTGCTTGTTGTGTGTGGCCTTGGGCTGGTGGCCCTTCTGCAGTGGGGGACAGTCAGAGGGCATCACCCCCAGCACAGGGTTTCCCCAAAAGCCTGGCAGCCCCTGAGTGTCCCCAACAGTGCTGAGGTCTGGGGGGCTCATCACATGGCTGGGGATGGGGTGGTTTGCAGGCTGTGAGATTTTGTGAGGGGACAAGATGGGGTTTGGGCTGTACCCCCTGGCACAAGGGGGTTCTTGCTGTGCTGGCACAGCACCTCCATGGCTTTGGGGGTGCTGGGGGTCTCCCCTCTGCCCCCCTCTTTGGGGATGGCAGCAGTGGTTTGGGGAGGCAGAGCATGGGACCTGGGGCAGCTCCTGGGGGGGGCCAGTTCCCACTGGTGACACTGTAGCACGGGGGAGTTGTCTCCCCCATTCTCAGTGCCCAGCCAGGGACATCCTTCCCAGGAGAGAGAAAAGGCAGGGACAGCTGGTGTTGAAAAAGTGATTTTGGTTTTGGTTTGGTATTTTTTTTATTATTATTTTTAAATTAATAAAAAACCTTCAACCTGTTTTTTGCTGTTTTTTTCTTCTTTTTTTTTCTTTTTTTTCTTTTCTTTTTTTTTTTTTTAAACAAATTCCCATTTAAACACCAAAAGCCCCCCCCCCCCAACCCCCCAACTCTCCCTGGGGAAGGGCCATGTATGGCAGTTGCAGGGATGGAGGGGGCATCACCTTGATAATTCCCCAGGCCCTGGGGGTGCTGAGGGAGGGAGGAAGGAAGGATGGGGTTGGGGGGAAGTCCAGGGGGAGTCTGTGCAAGAAGCTGGGCTGAATTTCAGAAGCCAGAGGAGAGGCTGGTTTGCTCTGGGCACTGTGACTAGTGTCCAGGAAATCCAGAGCTGGGGGGAGAGGGGTGTCCAGGGGCTCTGTGTCCCCATGGCCATGATGTGGGGTGCTGACAGCCACCTCCATCCATTCATTTTTGTTATTCCTGTCCCCCCCCTTCCCTCTCTTGCCCTGATGTAGGGATGCCGTGTGGGGGTAGAGCCATAGGGAAACGTCCCCCCAGACACCCAGCAGCTGCCTCCACACTGCTACTCCTTCTCTCTGGATTTATATACATTAGATATATTTATATATTATAGTTATATATTTAAAAAAAAAACGGGGGGAGGGGAGGAGAAAAGACCAGCCAGCGACTCTTGCAGAGGCACTCAGAGGCTGGTGCCCTCCCCAGCAGCACGTGCTCCAAACCCCCCCCCCCCCTTAAAAATAATAATAAAACCTAGAAAATTATTCCAGTGCGTTTCTTGGCGAGCCCCTGCTCCCAACGCCCCGGCCCAGACCCCCCTCCCCCTTCCCTCAAACCCTCCCCCCAACCCTCCTCCAACCCCAGTCTTATCTCTGGCCATCCATGGTGGCCACGGCTTTCTGTGGGGGGGCTGCAGGCGGGGGGGCAGGGGGCCAGGAGGGCTGCGGGTGGTGCAGGTGGTGGGCGAGGCCGTGGGTGGTGGGCGAGGACGGGGGCAGCCAGGCGGGCTGGTGGCTGGGGGGCGAGGAGGCCCAGAAGGGGCTGAAGCTGCCCGGGGGGGAGCAGGCCATGGAGGTGATGGGGCTGTTGCTGCTCTGGAGGCTCTCCGAGGTCCGCAGCTTGGAGAACATGGCCAGCGCGTCCGGGAAGTTGGGCGGCGTGGCCGGCGTGTTGCTGGGGGTGCACATCTGCAGGGCACGGGAGAAAGGTGGGTGTCAGGTCAGTCAGAGAGGCTTTTGGGGGGGGTCCCAGCCCACCCACAGTAGCCAGAGCCATCGCCTTTCACCCATGGTGTTTCACCACCACTAGGGATCCCCATGCCTGGCACCCCCCTGATCCCAGGGATGCTGAGCCCAGGACTGGGGTATCTGGCCCTTGAGGGTCTGCGTGGCTCCCACAAAGCTGCCTGGGGAGTGTCTCCAGTGAATCTGGGAAGGACATTTTTGACCATCCAGGATGCTCAAAGCCCAGGGATGAGGCAGGTTTGGGGAGCAGCAGGGACAGGGCTGATGCAAAAGGATGCAGTGTGATGGGTGGGGAGGGTGTTGGGGTCCCCTCCGGCCCTGCAGGACCCTCTTTCACCCAGTTCCTTGACCCTTCTTCCCCTTTGCACCCTGCTATGGCAGGGAGAGCAAAAGGCAGGCAGTGCCCCTCAAGGCCCCCCCCAGTTCCTGGTACAGCCCCTGCCTTCTGCGTATCCAGCTAAATTTAGCACCTGGACAGTGATGGATTTGGGCCTTTTTCCAGCCAATCTCCCCAGCTGAGGAAAATCCATCAGGTGGGACCCAGCCTAGCACTGGGGCTCAGGGGCTGGCACAGGGAACCCCCAGTTCAGCAAAGCACTTCTTAAATTGAGTACTGGTGGTGAAAAAGGGGGATGCGGGTGTGTGTGCAAACTCCCATGAGGCTGCACACACAGGGAAGGGGTATGGGCAGGGAGGGCACACGTGGGCAGGGGATGCACTGCCAGAGGATGCCTGAACATGGGGGTTGTGGGTGCTTCACCCCTCTGGGTTAAACCAATTCCAAATCCCTGTGGCCCTCAGGGAGCCACAGCTCCTGTCAGATGCTTGTGGGGACTTTGAGCAGAGTTAAGGGGCTTGGGCAGCATCTGCTGCCTTTAGCAACGGGGGATTGAGGGGAGTTTCTGATGGTGAATAGCTCCTGCATCTCCTCTTTCTTGGGATTTGCCCCTGGCTGGTGTTCAGCAGCCCCCTGATGCTCCCCAGCACAGGCCAACATCTAAATCCCTGTTATAGGTTCGCCCTCATCCCCATCCCGGACACCCTTAATGGCCAAACCCTGGTTGCCAGTCTATTTGAAGTTGGGGTGCTCTGTGCTGGCTGTGGGAGGGATGAGCTCCCATCAACCTGCGGAGCTGGGGCACCCCAAAAATGCAATCACGGCCAGGCTGGCACTGAACGGGTTTGTGGTGAACCAGGGATGTTCCTCCACAGAACTCATTTCAGAGCTCATCTTGAAGTGGTGCTGATCCAGCTTTTTTTTTTTTTTTTAAATAACCTATACATTTGGCAGCATCTGAAAAGACACTTGTTGCAAAAAAAAAAAAAAAAAACCAAAAAAAAATAATTTAATCTGTTTTTAAAAAAAACCCAACCACCACCAGAGCCATACACACACACACACCAACTGCCAGCCCTGGACTGAGGTTGGATGTGATGCTGGAGGGGGGACACAGCTCTGAGCTTCTGGGGTAGTGTTTGACAGATTAATTTAAAACATTCATTAAAAAAAAAAAAACCAATTGTCATGTAATTATTGCCTTCTTTCTCCAACACTTCTATAGGAGCTCTGAGGGTCAATCCCACCACAAGCAACCACAATGACACCCCAAACAGCTCTGGGGAATCCCGGTCCCACAGCCCGGAATCTGCAGGGGTTTGGAGGGGTTTGGGAAGTTCCCCCCTCCACAGGGGTGACAGTGACGAGCTGCCCCACTCTGAACTGTGGCTGCTGCTCTCACAGCTTTGTTCCCTGACGCTTGAAAAAGAAATAGAAACCGCAAGCACAAAGCTCCTCATCTCACCCCTGCCCTGAGCCGTGTGGGGCATTTCAGACTGCAGGAATCAGGGTGCTGGGAAAGAGGCAAACAGTAAAAAAAAAAAAAAATCCTAAAAGTGGGAGTATCTGGGGAGAAGGTGAAAGGTATTTTTACACCACGTGGGGCACACGGTGTTAGGAAAACACACAGCTGGGGAGGGGGAGAGTTGACCAGCTCTGGACCCTCCGTGCTGGGCTGGGTGGGGGGTGTCACGTTTGGGGTGGGTGGTGGGTCTCACTGGGCCCTGGGGAGCTCAGGGATAGGGGCTGGGATGGGTTTCATCAGCGCTCCTTTGCATTCTGCTTCCGGCAGCCGCCCAGGAATCGCCCCACCAGGCTTTTGGTGTGAAAACACAGCCAGGCCTTGGATCTGCCGGCAGCTCTCCCGTCCCCCCTTCCCACCGGGAACCGAGGTTTTCCATGAAACGACCCCTTTGCAAACGCCCAGAGGTGGCAAATAAAACGTGCAGGGGGGAGGGGGAATTAAAATAAAAGGGGGTTTCAGTGAGAGCCGGCCGGCAAAATGACTTTCTCTGAGGGGCAGAGAGCTCTCGCTGCCGGCAGTGCCTGGCCAGCTGGAGATTCCCTGGCAGCGTGAGAAAAGGAGGAAAATTCGGCTTAACCCACATCCACCCCTTCCCCCGCGCACGGCCCTTTCAGTTCCCTCACCGGGGGGAGAAAAAAAAAATAAATTCAAAAACCCCAAGAAACACAACACAAAACACCCGGAGGGGAATAACTTCCTCCCTTCGGCCAAGGGGGATGTGCCCTCGGCCAAGGTCAAGTGGTGTTTGGGGGGAAGCAGGAGGCGGGGAGGGGGACAGACGTGGCCCCCCCCGGGCTGGGGGAGCCGAACTTCCAGCGCGATGCTCGCGGAGACAAACTATTTCCTGGCAGACATTTTAGCTCGTGTTTACATTCTCCGGCTGCGTGTTCCTGCGGGCGCAGAGCAATATGGCTGGCAGGGGAGCTGACAGCTCCGCGGGCCGGGGGGCTGCACGACCCTCGGGGGCCGGCCCGGGACGGGGGCTGCTGGTCTGGGGGGTCCTGAGCCGCGTGGTGCTCGTAGGTGTGGGGGGGGCCGGGGGGGCTGGTTGGCCCTGGGGGAAGGTTTAAAGGTGTTTTTTGGGGACGGGGGGAGTCTGGGAGGGGATGGAGCGGTGCAGGGTTGAGGAGGGGGGCCGGGGTCCCACTTACCATCTGGGGGGGGTGGTGGCTGCTGGGAATGTTGGTCTCCTGGAAGAAGGCGCTCAAGGCTGTCTGTGGGGACAAGCTGTCAGATCCAGCCCACCCGAGACAAAGGGGGAAGGAACACACGGGTCCCCCAACGCCCACCCCGCAGCCCCCTCCTCGACCCCAACCCCGTGGGACACCCCCCGGGGGGCATCCAGGGGTGCCCCCCACCCGCAACCCCGCCAGGCCGAGGGCAGGGGGAGCCTGGGGCTGCCCTTCACCGACCCACTGGGGATCGTGTCCCACTCACACCGGGGCTCCCCACGCGCGGGGGGGGACACCCCAACCCCCTTGTTTACACGTCCCCCCCTCCCAGCGGGCCCCCCACCCCCAGATCGAGGGGGAGGGAGGGGCCGGGGCGCTGGGCCGCAGCTCGGGTTACGGCCTGGATATAAATAGAACCGGCGG